CCGACAGGCTGTCCCCCGGCCCGGGAGGAGCAGCCTGTCGGGGACGGCTCCCCCGCGCCACCCGCCCCGTGTCCCAGGAAGCGCGGCGCAGCGGGAGTGGGTGGTGGCCGCGCTGGTTGCCCGGCGCCTGGCTCGACCCCTCTCAAGAAGCCGCGCCGGAACTCGGAGGAGCAGCCGAGCACCACCGATGAGGACACCGACGAGGAGATGGAGACCGGGAACGTGGCAAACCTCATCAGCATCTTCGGGTCTAGCTTCTCGGGACTCCTACGGAAAAGCCCTGCGGGCGGCCGGGAGGAAGAGGAGGCGGAGGAGAGCGGCCCGGAAGCCGCCGAACCCGGGCAGATCTGCTGCGACAAGCCGGTGCTGAGAGACATGAGCCCCTGGAGCACAGCCATCGTGGCCTTCTGAGTTCCCGGGGCCCGAGCGGCTGGAGCTTGAGCAGCGGGCGTCCCCGAAGTGCGGCCGTGGCCTTTTCCCGGCCTCGAGGGCGAGCCGAGACCGTTGGCGCTGGGCGCGAAGGGGAGACTGGTTGCTGCCGGGCAGCACATCGCCCCGAACGGGGCAGCCCGGCTGGGCCGTGGCTCTCGAGTCTCACGTAGAGACCTAGAGTTGGAGGCTTATCGGAAGAGGACGATCGATCGTTAACTTTTGTGTCTGTGTGTGTCCGTGTGTAAGTTTGTCTTGTGTTGAGACTGTTTGTTCTGTGGTTCTGGAATGCACCACCCCTTCCCCGGGGCTTGAGACTTTTGGGGGCGCAGACCGGGACTTTCCTCCGCCAGCAGCACAGAAAAGGAAGCTGCTGAAAGGCTCGAGGCAGGGGAGTTCCCCGCTCGATCTTGGGGGAGAGAGGGACTTTACACACTCTCATGAAAGCTAGAACCTCATCAGGCGCGGAGTGGCGTTTCCTCACAGGATTTCCTCAGACTAGAGGGAGTTCGTCTGGAGTAGAGACTTGTATTATTTTTCTCCCTCCCCACCTTTCTCTAGCACAGAAGAAGCGCTTCTACCCTGTGATTACTCTGGGACAGCAGAACATTAAGGGACCTTCAATTCCCCAAAGGGGAAAAAAAGCTTGGTGAACTTCACAGAAGAGTTCAAGCTTGGAAATACGGAGTTTATAGAGAAAAGATATATTTTTAAAAGCTCTAGCTCAGAACTTACTACACAGTGCTTTTAAAAAGTGTTTAATGAAACAAAGTTTACAGACGAGCTCTAAGTGGAAGGACCTTATGGTTTTGTAGATATGGTGACTCCAGTCTTTGTTGTATAAAGGTTGGGGGAGCTGATAAGGGTTTTGTACAGTATTTTCTCCTCCTCTGTATTGATTTTTGTATAAAAATGTAACTTTACGTGTCTAACACGTATTAAATATTTTGAAGCAACTCCCTTGCCTGCTTGTATGTAATCACCTGTCTGGGTTTTCAACAAAGTGGGGGGAGGGGTGGCCAGACTGGGAAATGAAAGTGTGGTTCTTAGTATCAGTCATTGACTGACTAGGGACATTGTTGGTTATTTGATTAAGTATCAGGAGAGACACATATGAGGTTTTTTTTTTTTTTCCGGGGGGGGTGTCTTTTTTTTTTCACACATATCCTCATCTCAAGAGGACTGCTGATAGATACCGATGTCAAAGACTGGCAGGTTCTTGAAACCTGTCCTTACAACTGCCTTTCCTATAGTCATCTCAGGCCAGTTGGTTTTTCTGTAGTCTGATCAATGGAATCTTTAATATTAAATAATTTCAAGCACCAAGTTGTGAAGCCTTTCCTATCCTCAAATGTTTCCACCAAAACTTTTGTTTCCGTCTCCTGTTAATTTATAGACCGTGGATTTTTTTTTTCAGATTAATGGGGGAGGGTTGGTGGATAACAGCTTACTTCAGAAGTCTAGTAGGGCCAAATATGAGAAGCCAATGAGATTGACTTGTCTAAATGTTCAGACCCATTTCTGTGTTCCACTAGATGTCAAAATTGAAATTTTACTGCCCCCCAATTTAGTTGTAGAAAGTAATTGCATTGGTGAAAGTGAAATTATGTGTATCAAACCGGAGGAGGAAGGAGGCCAAGGAGGGTTGAGTAAAGTTAATTCTCATTTAGCATAACTTCCTGATTTGTGCTTGTCACCTACCTGATGACATAAGTGTTTTGGTCATGATAAACAGATGACAGCCAAGTCAATTTAAAGAGACCGTTTTGCCTAATGCAAAATGTTCAGTATTTAAGAGGTAGTGATCTCTTAGGAGCAAGTCAATTAGAGACTGTGTTTTAAAATATAATTACTAGTTCTTTAAAAGACAGCACCAGTTTTTAACTAAATAGAGTGCTTAAGAGAACAAGGGAAACTGAGGAGAGACAAAGCTGTATAGGCTTTAGACAGGAGCATGATTGGATGTCCTGGCCCTAGCTTGTTCTAATTATATAAACTCATAGCTGAGGAGGCCATTGTTTTGCTCTTTCTGTAAGACTAGCTTCTTTAAGCAAGGGAGCTGTGAACTTTCTATTCCATCACCATAATAATATAGACATAGAATGAAACATGCTTTAATCGGGGTGTTATTAAATTGCCTTGTTTTTCTTTTAGACATTAGCTACTTAAGCTTTATTATAACTACTAAGGTTCCATTAAGTGGATCTTAAAATGAAGGTGTCCAGGGCCTTAGTTCTGCCAACATTTCCTGTTACTAGAATCCAGTTATGCTCCAACAGCTGTCTCGATGTGCTTTTATATTTGAAAGGGTAATACTTGGTGTAAAGAGAGCTGTATGTTTGCTTGAGGTGTGACTAAGGTCCCTCTTCACCCTTGGTTTCATACAAAGATGAACCACGGGACTGTGTGTCTGCTTAATTTAGAGCCTATACACCAGGAGGAGTTTATACAGCATCCCTTTGTTGCACAAATCCTGTTACCCAGGATGCTTAGATTTTCATACCTTACTCCTGCCACTTTCCTCTCAGGCCTTGGTGTTGCTTCAGCTCTGTATTTTTTTTTTTCCAAGTCTAAAAGGATAATTGTACTTGCCTCATAAAGTTGTAAAAATTACTGAGTTGATGTTCTTGGAAAGTGCTTCATACCTCTGAGGCCAAGTGCCACATGCAGGCAATTCCAGTCCTTGGGAAGCTGAGGCAGGAGGTTCTCCAGTTGGAAGCTAGCCAAGGCTACACATTGAGACCCTGGCTCAGACTCCTGCCTCCTACTTGGGAAGCACTCAACTGTTGCCACAGAAGTGAATTGTGTGTGTAAACCAGCTGCTGTGCTAGGAGGATTGTGTCCATTGGGCAGAGAGGAGAAGGAGGTTGCTATTTTTAAATGATCCTATCAGCAAATATGGGTCCTTTCATTCCCCTTTTCCTCTGGACCCTTGGCAGGCAGGAAGCTTAGTTCCACCAGCAGAGTTTGTTGCTGTGTCTGTCTCACACCAACCCTGTGACTTTCTCGGATTTTATCAGCTCTATTTTCAGGAAGGAATAAACACGAGTAAAAAATCGCAGAGAACAACGTCTAGTTGACATTCAAATGCTTTCAGTGATGGGTAAAGGAATAATAAAAAAAAAAATAGACCATGGAGCTATGTTTAGCTCTAGTTGCTGGCATAGACTGTTTCTTAAGCCATGCTTGTTTCTAGGCCTGGACATCTTGATGCTCAGGTAGGATTATCAGAACTAGGTGAGATACAGTGTGAGTAGAAACTGTTTTGAATTATCTAGCCTTCTTGGAGGGGGACTACTTTGAGCGGGTCTCCAGTCCCTTCATTAAATTAACCATTGTAGCATTGGACTCCAAGCCTGTTTGATGGTCATTCTACCACTGGACTGGACTCCCAAGTTGAAAACTTTTAACACTATGCAAAAGCCAGATGTTTCAAGGAGTTTTGGAACAGGCTTGATGGCACATGCATTTAATTCCAGCTTTCACGAGGCAGAGGCAGGCATATCTCTGTGAGCCAGAGGCCTGCTATACATGTCAAGTTCCAGGACAGCGCCAGAGATACATAGAGGAGAGTCAAACAAACAAACAAACAAAACCCCCCCAAAACTTGGTTCTTTCTCTCTGTGGCTTCTAGCATCGTTTCCCTTCCTTTCTGATGGTAGGTTAGGTTTAGAATGGGGAGTTGTAGGGAATGTACCTTTTAACTTTTTTGGCAGAATACTCAGAATAAAACATGCTAGTATTGGGAATGAAGTTAATGACAGAACTGTCCCCATTTTATCCTTGGGTTAACCTGAGTCTCTTCAACTTACTTGGTGTGAAGATATAGCTTAGAACCAGTGTGCTATGGTCTAAAGTCTCATACTGCGGCATAGTTTTGATAGAAATTTATTTCTTTATAGTTATTTTTTTTAGTAGAGTTAGTTCAGTTCACTGAATATCCAAGGGACTTCTGGTCTTTTGCCCTAAATATTTTATTCTTGTCCTGTGTTTGTGAAATTTTCATTCTCCCAGACTCCCTTTTATCCCAGCAGTTCCTAAAAGAAGGTGAGATGAAAAGAAATGCTGGACCAACCTTCCCTGACTATGAAAGGAGCCTCTACTGTGAAGTGCAGTGCTCCGGTGGGGAGTGAGGTTGTCTTCCCAGGAACCCTGGCACTCTGTCCAGTAATGAGCAGTTTGTCTCGCAGCCTTTGAATCATTGTTCAAATTAAAAGTTCTACCCAGTGGAAAGCTTTGGGAGGAAAAACAGAAGCAGAGTTGGTTAGGAACCACTTCAATCTTAACTCATGCCCTTGGACATTTTCAGTAATACGTTTTTTCTTTTTTCTTTTCTCTTCGAGGCAGGGTTTCTCTTTGTCACCCTGACTGTCCTGCTCACTTTGTGGACCAGACTAGCCTCGAATTCACAAAGATTCACCCTGCCTCTGCTTCCTGAGTCCTTGGATCAAAGTTGTGCGCCACCACCACCCGGCTAGTAATAAGAGTACAATAGAGAAAGAATATGGCCGGGTGGTGGTGATATACACACCTTTAATCCAGCACTCTGGGAGGCAGAGGCAGGTGGATCTCTGTGAGTTTGAGGCCAGCCTGGTTTATAAAGCAAGTTCTAGGACAGCTAAGGGCTACACAAAGAAACCCTGGCTCGAAAAATCAAAATAAGTAGATAAATAAAATAAAAAGTGTAAGATGCACACATATAGTTGGATGCCTCCTTTTGACTTGGTTTGTACCCGTGTGTGCCATCACCCCTCCCCACTAGTGAGAATGAAGATTTAAAAATAAAAAGGCTCTTTAGCAATTTCTCTGTCCCAGAGGGATAGAGCCCAAATCATCTTTGCTGGACTGTATCCTGGGGTTTGTCTCAGGCCTTTGGAATTCTGCAGGCAGAGAAGGGGAAGCCTCTGGGGACTGCATTCCGAAAAAGGCCTCTCTCTCCTCTGTAGACCCACAACAGTCTCCACCGCTGAATGCTGCCCACTTAGGGGCGAGTACCGACTGTCATCTGTGGAGGCTGTAGAAAGGACTGGCCATCACTAGCACAACCCTGAGCATCTCTAACAGGTGACTCAGATGCAGAGTAGGCCTGTGGTACTTGTAGATAAACCTAGACTTACTAAAGCATTTTCTATGGTATGTTCTGAGACCTGGTCTCCAGGTCTGTGTCATAAGCCACAACCCTAACTTACAGAGGGAATGTGAGAATTAGCTGTCTGACTTTAACCAAGTTTTAACCCTGGCTCCAGCTCTCTGCTTTCTTTCTATCAACTGGACCTCTGCCAACTTGCCCAGTCCCCTAAGGCAAGGCTCCTTTCAGTTTCTCGAGTACTCAGGGATGTGCTAAAAGTCCTGTTCCCAACTGCTTATTCTTCCATCCTCCCCCCACTCCCAGACACTGCCTGGCAGGCCATCAGCTGGGAGCTTGCTTGTTCTGGGGTAACAAAGGGAAAACAAAAGACAAACCAAATCAAGCAATTTAAACCATTCTCTTCAACTCAGCTAACCTGGGTTCTGTGGACTCCAAACACTAAGGTGGACCTTCTATGCCTCAGGCTGCTTTTCCTTTTGAGTCCCTCCTTGCATCCTGGAGAACTGTTGCTGCTAACTGCCAGCATCACCTTCACAGCACAGACCCTGGAGTCCATGCGGCAGGTGGCTCTGCTCCTGTTTAATCTCTGCTCTTCCTAGGCCACCCCACTCTCCTGTGAGGGGCACACACTCTTTGTTTGCGAAAGAGTCTGGCCGCTCAGGGAAGAGCTGCTATGAACGGGAAAGTGACAGCCCATGAGAAAGGAGCAAAGATTAATATTTCTTGACTAGCAACTTGCAAAGAGTCCTCCAAAACTCTGGACGCTGGAGACCAAGCCACAGCTGTGCTGGCTGGAAGTTGTCATCCTTTCTCTGTGCCTCACTAGATCCCCAATCCCTGCATAATAGCCGGGGTGGGTAGGGGAGT